TCACAGATTATTCTATCACTAGAGACACGGAAATACAAACTGAATATTCTGAAACTATGTATATTGTAGATATTATCTAGCTTTGATCGAATTACATCATAACAAAATATTACTACATTATTATTTTTCAGTGTTTTGATTAATGCACACTATATTCACGTTGTATTTACTTTATGAATTAAATACTATCAACGGAACCCTTTCAAAACAAGCCGATATTTTACTCAACCTACTACGCCGTATTATTCGTAGCCCGTAGCGCGTAGCCCGTAGCGCGTAGCATCGTAGCGGCGTAGACCAACTGTAGACGCTCACGTAGCACACTAATCACGGCTAACACAAATCTGTTTGGAACACAATTGTTCCGAAAGCTCAGAGCTGACTGTTAAACAAAAAAAAGGTTCTAAATTGCTGCTCCTTCATTACAAACGTCTACCATATAAATCGTTGGGCAGGGTTTTAGCATAAATAACGATAGTAACTCACATTATAACAGTATTCACAAGAAAAATATTGAAGTCGTACGAAACTCCAGTTATGTTAACCGGAGAGACAGAAGAGTTTAATATTTTGAGCCCCATCGCCGAAATATGCCATTGAAATCATTTAAGGGATTCTCCGAGTGGGTAATGTGTTATCAAAATCCGGTTTCCACCTGTAACCCCGGCGTGTGCCACCTTTAGCCCGTCACGTGCGCCTTCAGCTCCACTTATATTTGATATGTAATTTACTTTTGAAATATTTGAAACGATATTACTTTTTTGTTGTTGAACGTTGGTACTGTTTCAATATTTACTGCGAGAGCCGAGGGCCTCTTGTTATAGGGAATTATGCCAGCGTAGATTTGTGAAGGGTTTGATTTATGGATTTAATATTGTATTTTTATATGTGAGAGAGAAGTGTCAGAGATATTAGGGAGGGGAGAGGATATTCAGTACATCATGTCGTTTGCTTAAGCTCCGTTTGGCTTATTTATGTCAACGTTGAGGTTTTGTCACCGGGTTTACGTGTGGATTTCCTTATCCTCTCTTTGTGTTATTGGGAGGAAACTCGGTAAGGCTATGTGTTGGAAGGCGGCAGCTAGTCATTCAAACATATAGGTTTGTATGTATCTACATAAGGTATGCGCAATTTAGTGTAAATAATTTGCTATTGTTCTGTTATTGTAGTATGTGGTGGATCAGGCATCTTAAATAAGACAGCATTGTGCTACTAATGTTTCTAGAATGACGAAGATATACCGTACTGATATTTGTAGTTGTCTGGCAGTTGCAATATACTGCATTTATATTCTTCCCTCGTCTGTGTTCTTGTTTCTATCCACGTATATACTGCATAACTTTAGGTCACTTACAGAACCTCATAGATTTTCTAAAGGCAAAAAAACATTGCATTAGAGCTATTTCAACATGTTCATAATTAAAAATGATAGTTCAATGCAGATAGTTAGAAAGAAACTTGAGAAAATTGTTCGAGTCGTTCAATAAGAAGCGAGAACATAAAGCGATGAAGACGCGTGCCTCGCCAGCCACGTGCCCTGCTCGACTGGCCTCTATTTAGCTAAACGCCCGCAGTTCCGCAGTAATGCACCAACACGCTCCACTTTTTACGACTACCCTCATGGCGCCGCTAAAACTCCCCTCTTTTATATCGTCTAACATCTTTACAGTCTAAATCGGATCACTTAAAGTAAAGCGACTTAGATTCAGAACATTATACGGAAACAACTGGAGATGCCCTTATCCGCTTACACTTGTTAAAGGAATGAGAATGTTGAAGGGAAATTTGTCAGCCAGCGCGACGTCGCTAAATACGAATCCAATCTTTGGGCGATATAAACCATTTGTTTAAATACTACGGCCTAATGAACAGACTCAATCATTTACTCCAAAAATACTTAATGTAGGTGAGTGCTCAAATAAACTGACAGCCACTTTGTTAGAGATTTTATAATAGTGAAAAACTTCCAAAAAATATTTGTACAAACCGTAACATCTTCGTAAACTGTTTAAATTAAAACATTCTACGTATTACGAGTACTTTGAGCGAAAAAAAAAGATCACTTAAAAATATTACGTTTGAGAAATAAAACCTTTTTTGATGAGCTAATAAAATACTCTTACGCTCATCAAATATCCGATCATAGCCATTTACTTTACGATGAAATACGATGACTACAGGTTTTGATATCTAAACCTATTTATAGTTCTTTGTATTTGATAAACGATAATTTAATGGATATTTAAACTCTAAACTGGATGTATTTGTGGCATCTTCATTAGCAAGACAAACACACAGTTCGTAGGGATGTAATTACTAATCATATACTTGGAGTTGCCGAGTATCCGCCGCCGAGCCGAGCCGCCGAGTATCAAATGTTCAGCTATTCACGAACGGTAAACACTTACTGCTTCCTTATTGTTGACGTCGACGCAACATGAATTATTCATCAATATCACTCGTGAAGGTTTTTCTACTCAAACAGATACCTACTTGGTGTTATAATGCGTGCTCAGTAGTGACGAGCTGCGTGTCGTTAGCAATGATCCGCCCTCGAGACGAAATCTGTCCGGACATATTGGAATATACAAATATAATCTGACGACAAATATTTTAGTGATTAAACTGCTTCGAACTTCAATAGAGCTGCCGTTCGGAATAGGTATTGTCAGTTTATTTTTGACAAGATTGATTTCAGTGAGTAATGCAAAAAAAGGAAAAAACTTGAGCTTGATAATTTTGTTATTCCCATATTTCATAATACATTTATTTTCGACTGCCACTTTCCCTATCCATCCAATTTGTAGTAAACGAAAAAACAACAAAATCCTCACCTTAATGCGATCACGAGCATTGTTCGCGATTTTTATCCAATAAACCAGATTACGAAACTACGCCTAGTACGAATATCCGATTATGTTGAGCCGGATAGTTTTCAGCACTCGTTGTATATGTACACTGCTCGGAGAGTGCACAGCGGTGGGTACATATTTAAAACAACTTAAGGGTAGCGTGACGTTTTGTTGGACAAATCCAGATTCCAGATGTACTCGATACTTTTTTCGATTTTACGTTTGATGCCGCGCATAGATCACCTAAAGAGTTACAATGGCATTGCCTGTTGGAGATTTGGGAATTGGGATACAAGATGAGTAAGATGAGAGAAGTGAGGTGTTTTGTTGGACAAATCCGGAAACATCGTTCCTTCTACACGTGAACGATGTGGGGATTTGAGGAAACACGAGTGTTACTTATGATGCACGTTATATCGCGGTGTGACGGATATGTGGCTGTTAGCAATCAATCACTCGCCACGTCTCGCCGAGTCGCGCCGCGGTAATTCAATACGCTATGAATAAGCAGTGCTCGTTGTACAAGCCGGAGAAAATAACATCGCATGGCGTATGTTTAAACACGATTCCTACCTGATCGTATACAACATTATGTACGAATCAATAAAGCTATACATATTGCAATGACAATTTTGGGTCAATCACACTAATATTATCAATATCATTCAACGTTATTTTGTTGAAAATGGGCATAAAACACTTTATTATGTAAAGCAAATTCTTTACTTTTATAACCACACAATACAAAAGTAATACATCACAGTCACCAATAATATATTACAACCCTAAAATAATTCAAAATGGCGATAAAATAAATTGTAAAACCCAAATAGAACATTCGCAAAATTGTTGAAAGCGGTAACGGAACAAACAAATGATAAAATATGAATTTAGTGCTAACGTAAAGTTGTGTGTTAGTGTTTAGCAAACAATGGCGGGCCAATACACGAGTACACACAGGTACCTATTACAATGAGTTTCGATAGCAAAGCTGAAGTATTGCTTTCATTAGAAACGGTGGAAGTGGTGGCTGAGTGCTGCTGGCTGTTCAGTGCTCAGTGCTGGCTGTTGGCCATTTGTTCGTTTATTATATTACTACCGCGGGATAATTTGTAAATAGGTATTTATGTCTAGGGTTGCCAGACACACAAATATAGATTGTTGTGTTTACTTATAATAAAATTTCTGTGAATTCTAAGGGTACTTTAAACTGAGGTATATCGAGGTTCCCACATTCATAATAAAGTCAATCACAATCTCAGGACCTTTTTAAGTAGGTATACGATGGGTATTATTTATGTACAAATCAATGTTTCATTACATCCGGCTAACCCGGGCGCACGGCGAGCGCCATTTTAATTTGATTACGATTTTAATTGAATGTTATTTAAACCTGCCCAAAGCGGATTATATAGGCGTAATCAAACTTAGGCAAAATATATTAAAATCTCAAATCCCTGCGTTACGTCACACATTCAGGGTTTGGGGTTCTGTTACCACATCAATAGGAACCAGGCAATACGAGCACCTCTTGTCTAGTTCTAATTATTTCTGTATAATAATATGTCTATATTATTTATATCCTCGTGAGCAATTTGAGCGTGTTTTGTACCAAAATCTAGTAGTTTGATACTAAATAACCTGTAGTTATCCTGAAAAATAGCTGAATCAAAAGTAAACCGTATTGTTCAAACGAAATTACAACAAACTTCCACTTTATAACATTAAAACAGATTTGGTATTTTATGAAATTAGAGAAGTGAGCACAATCTTACCTCGCTAGAAATAACATCTACAGAATCGATTCTCGTTCGATATTAATTTGATTACAGGGAGAAAGTTAAAGGCTCAGTAATGTCTAATCTAATAAGAAAATAATTAACCGAAACCAAAGCACGGTACCTTTGTTAAGTGGTTTAAAATTACGTGAAAATAAGACTTTGAGGTAAGTTGGAGTCTTGTAAGTTCTGAGTTTGGGGGTCGCGGCCTTGGGGGTCGCTTGGCTGGAGCTAATTAACATAGGTACATACGAACTCTTGCGATATATGTACTATGCGTGAATGTACCAGCTCTCAGTGTAATTTAAAAGTACCGCATGTACATTAGAGGTTAATCATATAAGTGTGGGAAAGCCATGCTTCGGCACGAATGGGTCGGCTCGACCGGAGTGATACCACGGCCTCACAGGAAACCGGCGTGAAATAACCACTGCGTTGTGTTTCGCCGTGTGAGTGAGGTTACCGGAGGCCCAATCCTTCCCCTTCCCCAATCCCTCCTCAATCCCTAAATCTTCAAATCCGTAATCCCTAAAAGGTCGGCAACGCACTCGTAACTCCTCCGTTGCGAGTGTCCATGGGCGGCGCTGATTGCTTACCATCAGGTAATCCGTCTGATCTTTTGCCGAACTATTAAAAAAAAAACATTTTCCACAGTTGTAGTGCGGGGACACAGCCCTCAAGGATTGAAGGACTATTGACTCTTAGTTTCTTAGTAGAAATGTTTTGGAAAGACCTCGATTTGTTCGCTCAAAAAAAGGAACACATGTTTAGTATGATTTCTGTGGTCATTCTGTGTATATCGTTGTAAGTAATAGTCCCCTACTTAACACTAACACCCGCAGAATCCGCAGCTCACTACAGCGGCGGTACCTTAACAAATCCCTTTTATTTCGTCTACTATATCTGCCACAATGGCCGATTGTCTACCCAAACTCGAACCCGTAATGAGGTCGCTTTAAATGCAAACTGAGATTCCACGCTAATGAGCTTAGCGGTCTAAAAATACTTAATTCTTTGCCTGGGTGTATCATCACAATGGTTTCAGATCGGCTCGCAATTTTAATGACTTCATTTATAAATACGTGAGTGCCTTTGATATTTCATTTCATTTCCACAATAATATTATGGACCTTGTATACGATAAATATAATTTCACGTACAAAACACTCGTGTACATTTTCCAAGATTAATTTGATCGTGACGTTCCAAATGTGGCAGTATATATATTTATAGGCAGTCGGCCAGGAAGGAGGCGGCTCCCGACATAGTCGCGCAAACTAGACGACAGAAATGTTGAAATTTGTAGTCTGGCAACCCCACGTGGCTCAGTATCTCCGGCAATAAAATGCAAACTCTATTTTTATAAATAATATTGTGCAGTTGCCACACCGGCGCACCGTGCGATTTATTCCCGTGACTAAATAAACGCGGCGCAGCAGTCTGTCGCAAATTTTTATCACTTGTGTATTCAATGGAACGGTGGACTGCGCTAGTTTATCGACACCGCGGTGTTTTACTACACCTGTGTACCGTGGGCAGCAATGGCCAATTTATTGTTTAACCATTGATTGGCGTCGGTATGAAGTCGCTATTTATTCTGTGGTTTCATTTCTACGATGACACTCCAATTAAGAATAAAACAATCAAGCAATGTACACATACACTAGTAGACACTAACGGTTTACATTCTTTCAAACTAATCAATAAATCATACTGGCGAAACCACGTCTAGCCTAAGTTTATATTTGTAACGACCTGTCTGGTCATTTGATTTACATTGTGGAGTCTAGACGAAGTGTAGCTATGCTTTGTTCTCGAAATAGCAGGAATAAGCGAGCAGCCGATGGCTCATCAATATTGTCACGGCAACAATTACGCTCCAATCGGCAGTTGAGCAAGTTGCAGTCAAACCGAACGTAATCTCGTATGTAAACTTGTGCCGGATTACGACAACTTGAGACTTGTTCGACAACTTGAATGTGTGTACTTTACTCGGAACGCTTAAATATTCTGAATATTGTACTAGTTGTGCCAAGTTGTCGGGTAGTGACGAGGTGACAGCGTATTGTGTCTCCGTACATTTACATAGTTTGCAGGTCGACTTAAATTGAAATCAAAGTGATAAGAGATGATAACAGGCTCGCAGCGTGGCGGGAACATGTTGCTGATTAAGTTCAGGGATAACGGAAGAGTCACGAGGTAACTGTTGACTCAGCGCCATGTTCGCAAACTACAGATTATTTTACTTGCTTATTTCCATTATATTACCATATTATAAACGTAAGTACAATACATATATTTTCCTTATAAGTTATGTTAATTAGTGGCATGACATCATTTTGCACTAAATTAGTGTTACAGAAAAACAAATTAATATTTTTTGTAACGTAATGATTCGCGGCTTTCGCATCATAATACTGTATAAGCGTTAAACATCAATACATCTTGCCTTGGACACCGAAACCCTTATAGATTTACAACCAACCAAACACAAGTACATATATTCACGTACACAGTCAATACACAAGCTGAACAATTCAAATTAAGTGGAAGAAGTGAGGGCAGTAAGCCAGTAAGCTGCTCCAATACAAAAGTATGTACAAACAAACGACTTTTATCAGCGGATAGCAATAGTTCAAAACTAAAGGATCAGACGATAGCAATCCTTTGATCCCTTTCACTCGTATCGCCGGATTCCGCAGCCACCTCCACCTGCCGTCGTACCTACTGACCTACTACTTGTGTGTTCAATGTACACTGTGAGGGTCACGGGGCGTAGTTGCAATAAACGATTCTATTTACTGGTCATTAAGGTTTCAGTTGGTATTTTTATTATTATTACAGTGTAATGCAATATTCTACAGTTTGCCAGCTCGACTTAAAATAAAGTTTTAATATCATCACGTCCCGTAGGTGTTACAATGAAGCCCAGTACATAAGGAGCTCGCGATATTACGGATATAAACAAATATAAGCGCTGCGCCGCAGAGCTGGCATTCAGTAGAGAAGTGTTGCTGTATGAAAGGCTCGCGCCGATGAATGGCCTAGGTTGGGAAACTGTGTGGCCTTGAGGCAAGTTTAAATGGGCCCGGTCGTAATTAAGAGCGGCCTGGCTCGGATCAAATTACCGACAGTACAGTATTTAACGAGCTTTTAAAATACAACACCAGGATTGCCGGTCGCTTTGCGAATGGGGGCACGTTGTGGCGGAGCGGCGGAGGCGGTGTGGCCAACTTCGAGTGCTTTAATACGTTCTAGATTTCAAACTGTAGTTTATAAGTAGGTGGTGTATTGTCATGATGACTTTTTTTTTTTTTTATGTGATAGGACGGCAAACGAGCAGACGGATTACCTGATGGTGAGCAATCGGCGTCGCCCATGGACACCCGCAACAAAGAGGGAGTTACGAGTGCGTTGCCGACCTTTTAGGGATTAGGGATTTGGAGATTTAGGGATTGGGGAGGGATTGGGGAAGGGGAAGGATTGGGCCTCCGGTAACCTCACTCACACGGCGAAACACAACGCAGTGGTTATTTTACGCCGGTTTTCTGTGAGGCCGTGGTATCACTCCGGTCGAGCCGACCCATTCGTGCCGAAGCATGGCTCTCCCACACTTAACTTTTACTCGTATCGTCTTTTAATTAAGATTTGACGAACAGTATTTAGTTATGTAGCGATGTCATTTAAAGAAATAAGACAGTGAGACATTACTGTCTTATTTCTTTAAATGACATCGCTCAGCCCCAACATGAAAAGTTCCTGCCCCGACACACGCCACGTATAGCTCACTCGCAGAGGTTGACGTTCGGTTCGCGAGAGTAAAGTTTGCGTACGCGTGCTGAATGACAAACGATTATTGAAAAATGTCGTTCACTTTTAGCTCCACGCAAATGATTCGTTATTTATCACAAACCACTTTATCAACAGTCAGTTTAAAATATAATAACGGCAGCGACGTGTGACAGTTAAATTAAAAAAAGTCACAACTTTGTCCGGCGGCCGGTCCGGTCCGGTTTGTGCCGGGTAGCGCCGGTTACACGACGCGCCACGATTAAGCTGCCACTCGCACGATGCAAATTATGTATTTCCATCGTGCACCGGACTGTTTATTTATTAAAAATTGGCCGCGTTTATTATTTGCATACACAATTTTGTTTGTGATTCATAACGCTCTGTATTGCTGACATGAAGCAGCTTATTATATATTATGTTTATACTACTGGCAAACGTATTTACAAAAATTAAATTAAATTTTAATTCTGGTTCTTTATAACAATGACAACTGGTGTATTGTAAGTATCACATGCAGTGTAAGCGCTGCTTACTCCAGTGTATCGACAAAGACTACACTCGCGCTAGGTTTGACCGCTCGTGCAGCGGTGCTACTTGTGTTTTTGGTTCATGTTTCATGTTTTCCTTTCATTTCGTATTCGATTTCAAGGGTCGTTCCATTTTACAAGGAAAAATTGACCGAGTATTCAGAGTGCTCAGAGGCTAGTTATGTATTTATCATGTTTTAAATCTAACGTGAAATAGATATGTTGTAAAAATGTATTTCTCATATAAAGAATACAATTCACCTTAGATAAAGAGAAAACATGATATCTTAATATTAGACAAAGTAAGGGCGTGCAAGCGTTACATTCCCTTAATATTTCACTAGTTATAACAATGTAGGTATTACTTTAATAGTTCCTGATTCTAATAAATTTTGCTAAACTAGAACATTTACCCAGTGCCGGATTAGCCACGTAGCAAGAGTAGCAAATGCTACGGGCCCCGCGGATAGGAGGGCCCCGCGCTCAAATAGGTATTTCCTAATTACACCACTTCAACAGCAAGACCTATGAAGAAAATGTTTTGTTTACAAAACTACTACCAAACTGCAAGTAGTTTGAATTTTTTCTTAACGAAATAAACGAAAAAAGACAAATAGTCGGTATTTTGTATGTGTAAGAAAAGGAAAGCGAGTATCTGTCCGCTCGGTTGGTGCCATTGGCGGGCAAACCGAGCCGACGCGAACTGCGCGCACGGCTATTTCCGCCTCAGCTCTAGGTATAATATGTATCTATCACGAAAAATGTTGGTATCAAAATGAACAACAATAATTTGAAATTGTACCACATCTTTTAAATCTCTCCGCCATTTATAAACCAATTTCCAAAATTCTTGTTTTGTTTGAAAGGTTATTATACTCCCGAGAGGGTCCCATTTTCATGAGGTCGGGATCTGATAATGGAATCCTAGGGAAACCGAGGGGAACTTTCGAAAATTGTAGGGGCGAGTAGTGCTACAACTTGCCGATAGTCGAACTTGACTTGATGATGGAGCCGGAAGACAGTTGAAGGATCTCCTTGATTATTTGAAGTAGTTATCTTGTGTTTCTTATTGGTGAGCACTTTGCACCAAGATTGGTCGTGACTGCCATTAGGGGTCTGATAATGAGAACGAAGGACAGCTTATAGGGAACTCCTGAACGGTTCACAGTAACTATCTCGTGTTTGGACTTAATTTATTTATATCGATGAAAACGTCGCACCTATATGGGTTACAATGAAGTTATGGAGTAAATCTAATGATGGAGCATCAAGACTGTCGTAAGATCTCTTTGACTATTTGGAGTAATTATGTTGTGCTTGGATTTAATTCATTTATATTGATGACAACTTTGCACCTATATGGATTACGTAAGTATATTGAAATAAATGATGATGGAGAACATTGACAGTCGAGGGAATTCCTCAGCGATTTACAGCACTGAACACTGACTAACTCAGGGCTACTACTATTATCGTGATTTTCTGTCTCAAGTAGTCGTCGTCTTCTCCTTCGAAAACCATTATCCTTGCTTGCTCTGCCAAGTGAATCATCCAAGTCATACCAAACAGCAACAGTATTAGAAAAATATTGATCGGTACCTCCTAATCATCAAACTAACAATAGCTATATAGGTAAAGATTACACTATTTTTGTTTTGCTTGGCACCGAATTCAAAATTATAAAATGGTTATTAATATTATTTTCTATTTAACTAAGTGAAAACATGTATTAATTTCTACAAATTTTTTTTTTTTTGCTTTCTAGCTTACTTTTTGAAGTCGTATCGAATATTTTTGTTATAAATTATTTATTCCACAATCGTCTGATCAAGACCTTAATACGGGATACGCCGTTTATGAATCAATATATGGCTACGTCCAAGCAATGCGATCCTAATTTTCAGATATTAGAGGCAAGAGCCAAAGATTTGACTAACTGTGAAGAATACCAGCAACAGACATCACGGCGAATCAAGCGAAATACAAAGTAGGTACGACCATTTCAGCGGCTCTACTACACTCGACGACTATGTTGAAAATCAAACACCTGGACAACGTTTCGAATTTGAGGTGTTTGTTGTCATAATTGATAACGTACTGTCTGCTATAACTAAACGTATGAAAGCATATCATAAAATTACTAGTGTTTTTGAAGTATTTCGACTGATAAAATCTCAACGCAACAGAAGAGATTTTGAAAAAATCGTCAAAGATGTTCAGTGCTTACGAAGATGATTTGGAGAACGGCAAATTAGTGCAGTTTCCAGAGCTGCTGAAAACAGATGTGGCTACTGTAATTGACAGCAAGAAACAGGAGGCATTAAATAATTCTTTAGAATCGTGGTTCCCAAATTTAGAAATTGCCTTGCGTATTTACTATCTCTCATGATCACTAACTGCAGTGGCGGGCGTTCTTTTTTAACGTTGAAACGAATTAAAAATGAATTAAGGAACACTATGGGCCAAGACCGTCTTAAGTTGAATACCTATAGAGCATGACTTGCTTAAAAAAGATGCTTTCGATATTGAAAGTGTAATCGCTTCAGTTTTGTTTTATTTAATACCCTTTTGAGAACCGATGGCAAACCAAGGGCCCCTTGACAGAATTTGCTACAGGCCCCGCGCTGGCTTAATCCGGCACTGCATTTACCATAAAGTAGTCGGTTTACTGCAAACTTTCGATTGACCGCTGGCATTAACCAGTAAGCTTAAATGATTAATGGGGGCCAGTAGTGAGTAGTATTGAAAGTTTATCTTTGTTTGTCAGCAGGCGGCGCTGGTGGCGCCGGTTATTATAACGCAATAATTTAACGAGACATTAAGCGCGTGCGCCGGCCTCGCAATAAATCAATCATGGCGGGCGCACGGAGCCGCGCGAGATAAGCGCGCGCTGCAACCACTGCCACATTCATCTGCTATTTATTATATGAGTAATGTGACCTCGATCGCAGCCACACTTCGTTTGCCTTCACTTTCCGACTGATTATTTTCCGAAGTATTGTTTATTTGCCCTTCGACGGAGTTTAAATGAGTTCCCGCGCGTGGAAATTAATAAATCTTCTTTTTCATTGCTCTGGTTATTGTTTCTGCGTAGGTGCTGATATAATTGTTTGCATTTTGTTGTTATTCGCTTCTTGTTTGTCTGATGTTCATGTTATAACTAAGTAAGAGTCAAAACAATCTGGTTATGCGGCAGCCTATTAATTACGTTCATTATGCTTAATTTTCAGCCTAGTAAAGCACGGGAAATGCAGTTCACGTAAACACAAAAATAATTAATGCAAATTGAAATGAGTTTTCAACTTTTTGTCAGGTAAAAGAAAAGCAAGCAGAATTTATATCTTTTTATAATGGCATGCAAGGGTGGCAACACGCAATATCCACCGCACTACAAACACTCGCTTCAAAATGCACTGAAACAAAAGTTTGTACGTGTTCCAACTTGCGCAGCGGCTATAATATTTGTACACGAACAGGGAACGGAACGAGCGCAGCATTCACGTGAGAAGTCAACCACGACCCCTGCAGCACACGCTGTACACAACTACTCACTGCTTCCGTGTAACATTTACATTGGCTGGCAACTCAAATTTGGTCACACGGAGTTAAACAACTGAGACACGTGGTAACATAGAAACTACTTTCGGTGCTAAATCTATATTGTAGAACTCAATTATCAAATAAGTCCCAATACGAAAGTGTTCTAATTTGAAGTTTATCTACTAAAATAAAAATGGATAAGGTAGATTGGTAATTTAACTTTAATGGCACATTATAAGACACCGATATGAGTTGAATCGTTGTACAAAAGTATATACGGAGTGAATGTGTGCTGGAGCTGAGGAGGCTAAATCCTCATTAATCGGAACAGTTGGCAGAGGAGCCAACACATTAGTGATGTGAAAATTTCCCTGAACAAGCCAACGTTCGGCCGTTCCTATCCAATCAGTGCATCGAATCGTGCAGCATATGAAGACTGCGGTATGTAGGTCAGGGCAGCGGGTTCGAGGCCGGCTAATGCAACGCGATCCCCCAGGCTTTGCACTGCGGCACATTCGTGTGGGACGGTATTATGCAGAACGCAGCCACTCCTCCAAATTGCCGGAAAACTGATAAGAGAGCTGGCGCCATCTACTTACTAAATGGTATTTAAACTTTTACTTCAGCAAGCACCGCGTGCTCACTGGCCAAATACAAAACACTAGCAATACGCAAAAATTACATGATAATTGCAAAATAAAATTAGTTCTAACAACAAATGAGTTATGAAAACAATTTCTAAATCCACACAAATATACAGTTAAAACAAAAGGTTCCAGGAGCGGCATGAGCTGTTACCTGCGAAATGTAATAACCGGACCACCGTAAAACCATCAGAATGTAACAAACTACTAGCAACAACAAACAAGTCTAGATTTCAAAATTGAAACACAAACTTAAAGGTCGATTCCGTTGGCATCAGAATGAAGTCAAATGCGAGAGAGGATTTAATTAGAGCTTAAAACTACGGCCAACTCATAACAGTGGGATTCTCTCGGACCGAAGTATTTAACTCCGCCATTAATTCTGTTGGTAATCCCTTATGATATTAGATATTAGTGGCCGGCTCCGGCTGGCTCCGGCTCCCGGCTACAAGCGAAAAGTCTTCGTGTGTTTATTTAATGTGCGGAGATCGATGTGTGGAATTTACTCAACAATATGTTTTATCATACGTTCTTATTTGCAGCTTATCGAGCATATGTATTATGGAAGATATGCTGCCAGTAAACAATATTGATGTTTGTAATTATTGATTCTGAGCTGACTAGCGAGACTAAACAGACGTGTCTTTTGTTATTTATAATGCACACCTATAAATAATTGCGAAATAAAAAAAAATATATTTTGCGGCGTCAGATTTATATCAAGTAAAGTGTGTCATGAGTGCTTAGTAGGTGACCAACAACTTTGTCATAGTGTAAAATGAGCAAATAAACTATTTTTAAACTATTTTTGTTACTGTGTTAGTTATGTCTAACCCAGAAGCCAGCCCGTTTGGCCGTAGCCAATTACTACGGCGAAGCCCACCATCGACGCCATCGGAACCTCCTAGAGATCCTAGCCCGCCTCCAGTCAGGGAAAATGAATTACCAAGTGAAGTAATTTCTACGCCGGAGATACAGAAGTGGATGAGCTCAATTGACTCAATCTTGAATGAAGTCTGCATTATTGTTTCGGAGGGGAAAATGAACTCTGAACAGAAGCTTCGAGTTACCAATCTTTGCCGAAAGGTTTCTAGCGGGACGTCTCAAATGGCCATTTTATACCAAGCTCTGAAGCAGAAAACTATCCAGGCCCATAACTCAAATCAGCATTTACAAGAACAGCTGAATATTTCAAACTCTCTGCACCAGCTCAAAGATGCCGTCGAAAATAAAATTCAACCAGAGACTAAATCATATGCCAATATGGTTAAAAAAGGATCGGATACTTTTGTTTGTCCAGAAAATTTGAATTCTGTCGTAATTTATCCCAATGACAAGACCAAAACGAGTGACGAAACAAAGTCTCTGGTCCAAAAGATTATCTCGCCGGAAGAACTTAAGCTGCACGTTCGTGGATTGAAGAAGGTTAGAAATGGGGGTGTCATAATTAATACTGAAACTAAAGGGGACATTGAAAAACTTAAGAACTCAGCAAAATTAGTTTCATCTGGTCTTAAAATTGAAGAACCATCAAAACGTCGACCCAGGGTTGCTGTTATTGGTGTACCAGTAGCCCTTACAGAAAAAGAGGTATTCGATTGCATATTCGAGCAAAACATTACCGACAAGTTGCCGAATATAACACGTGAGTCATTCCTGGAAACAATCAAATTGAGCCACAAATCGGGTAAGAAGAATCTTTCTAACTGTAACTATGTTTTGGAAGTTCCTGCCAGCATTAGGAGAGCATTAATTAATCAAGGCCGAATCTTCATCAATTGGACGTCATGTCCGGTCCGAGATTTTACTATTGTGACAAGGTGCTTTAATTGCCAACAGTTTGGTCATGCGGCCAAGTTTTGCCGAGAAGCTATTGCTACATGCAATCACTGTGGAGAAACTGGCCACTCCTTCAAGGACTGTAGTAACAAATCTTCTCCCTCACAATGTGCGACGTGCAAACGTTTTAAGCGTAAATGTGACCATCCAACAGGGGATATGAGTTGCCCAGCTCGCAAATACGCAGAAGACTACTACATTAATTCCATAGACTATGAAGGGGCCTGATGCTACCACACACCTTAGTATGTAAGCACTTTAGAAATAAACTTTTATTTTGTATTCTTAAAAATTGTTAATTTGTAATTATTATGACCACTCAGTTAATAGATGACCTAGACAGTTTTTCTGTGTCTGACGCGCAAGTATGCTATTTAAAAATAATCGCACATAACTTAATTTCGCACGCTGACTTTGCATGCACTTGCCCTGCTGTGGTAAATGCTGATTATACTAAATATGTAGGTGTAACAATTGACACAAATCTGAACTTCCGTAAACACATCGGTCTTTTGTGTACTAGATCGTATGTGCTATTGATGCGTAAATTGATCTATTTCTAAAAACTTCTAGAAATCGTACAATGTTGGTTACTAGTCCGTAAGAAACAAACACTTTAAGTGTTATTTTAAATCTGTTTTATAATTTTATATGTATAATATTTAGTCTTGTAGTCATAAACAATATACTTTTTTCATTAGTAATATTAATTGTATTTGCCCCACGTATTAAAAAGTCGAAGACTGATGGCCTGAAACACAGGTTTACATAAACCTAGCTCGGGCAGGTCACTTTAATATCGTAAGTCCTTGTTAATAACAAGTATTTTATAATTGTGAAAATAATAGTATAAGTTGTAATTACCTTGCATTATATAAATACCTAAAAGTTAACTATTGAAATTACTGTGGCTTATTATAAACAATATTTGTAGAAAGTTATCAATAAATTTTATTTATTTTTATTTTAATATAAGACCTCCAGTTGTATTGTAAATATGAATTCAACAATAAAACGCTGGTAGCGAGTACATAGCACCGTCCCGGCTAATGCGTTATGATCCGCGGTACAGCGCGATATGTAGGCTTAGAGCACAACACTGTTAACAGTGGCTCTAAGACGAGCCTCCGACAGAGAGGTCTCTGCAACAATGTCCTCACTATCGGATACTCCTATTTACCTATGTATACATATGTAGAGGAGTATATATTGATATGTTGCCATAGTTTATTCAAGCTCCTTGCCATACCAATGGTATATATTTGTTGTTTATATGTATATTGAATTAGTTAGAAATGTAGCGCTAATAAATTAAAATAGTTTCTAAAAGAAACAGGATTGGTTGTATATAAAACTCTGTGAAACA